AGAAGTACCTGCTTTGTAAATGTTGAGTTTATTAAAATAAAAAAGTAAAGTGCAGCAGAGAACCATTTGTTTTCTCTCTTGCCAAACTTGACTTTTGGAATGGGGGATTATATATTTTAAAGCTCAAATTTCTAAACTGGACTTTCAATGGAAGCAGGTAAAAAAGAGCCAAAAATGGCTGCCCGGTCTACAGATACTGAGATAAAATTTAGTGTAAAAGAAGCTAATAGTCCCGCCAAAAATGCTAACACCTCTCCTCAGAGCTCACAATATCACAAGAGATAGAAGATGAAGCCATTTAAGAGTTTGACCAAATGGCAATAATTTGGTCTCTTCTCAGCATGAGATGATTTCAATTTGAAAAAGACCTTACAGATTTTTTTACACGAGACGCCCCTCCTGACTCAACCTGGGCTTAAACCTGCAGCCTGAGGATCATGAGACTGTGGCACCGACCACTGATCCACCACAGCCCTCTGAAACCAAACATTCATAATGAGGAAAAATACTTTCTACTTTTCTACGAGCCAACAGTTACTACAACCTACTGTGTTGTTTAGGTTGATTTGTTTATTTGAAGTCTTTGCGTTTTTCAGTCTGTTAGTCGTATTGCATCATGAACATTATGTGACAAACAATCATAGTCACGGTTTGTGGTGTTTTTATATGCAAACTGTTAGTTTCTCATTCACTCCCATTTAATGCAGACACATTTGGGCCACAGCAGCCACTTTGCAAACACAACCACCAAACAAGTTGATTTTGTGTGTGTGTGTGTGTGTGTGTGTGTGTGTGTGTGTGTGTGTGTTATGATTATTATTTTTTTCCATAGTTGTTTTTAAATCATTCAAGGCCAAATACTATTTTAACATCAAATCAAAAATGTCCCAAAACTAAACATTAAAACTCTTTTACACTATAAATTAAAGGGAAACTGACAGATTTATGATCATATATTTTAGTCAGTAATGAAATATTAAATGGTTATTTATTCTGACCACATCATATTAAATTTTTGTGAATTAATTAATCAATCAATCAATTAATTAATTTAAAAAAATTTACACCAAAATAATTTAGGGGAGCTTTAAAATATTTTATGGGGGCTCCAGCCCCCCTAAAATAGGCCTAGTGACGCCACTGTCCTGTAGTGTCCTGAGGCAGCAGGCAGGGGAGCAAAAACCACCGGTTGGGACTAGAACCTCCTTTTAGGACCAGCTCCTCCTCTGTGTCTCCAAGCTGAGCCTCCTCATCACAGAACACACCTGGCCCTGTGCTGAAATGGGCGGGGCAGAAGGAGGTTCTTAAAGAGACAGAGGCCAATWTCAAGTTGTTTAGAAATAAATATGATGAGAAGTCAAGTTTATTTTCTATTTAAACATGTGAACAGCTTTTTAATAACAACCGAAGGTGACATAGTTACTTTATTATGGTTTGCCTGAGAAGCACATGATATTTACCTTTAACTTCTCTAACTGTTCCTGAAATGAACTTTTTAAATTAAAAGAATTAAAGTTCTGGTACTTCATAAATGATCAAATCAACTTCTGTCTTTCATGTCAGTTTTAAACCAACTAAATCTCAAAGATGGGTTCTTTCTGTTTTAGTCTTGTGAACGAGTTGATGTGTTGAGGATGACTCTCAGRTACTACCACACCAAACCTTAGTCCAGTGTCTTCACAGCTGCCTGATCTGATCTGATGTTCTGCAGCTTCAGCCACGATGGAGGACTTCCAGATCCGACCCCACAGCCTGTTCGTCCACTCGTACCGAGCGCCCACCTTCTGRGACCACTGTGGAGAGATGCTGTGGGGGCTGGTTCGACAGGGACTRAAATGTGAAGGTGAGCGGGCCTCAGGTGTTCCCAGGACAGGAAGCAGAGGACCGGGTCCAGTGAGACAGGACTCAGAGTTTGTCTCCGTCTCTTCTCAGGCTGTGGGCTGAATTATCACAAACGCTGCGCCTTTAAAATCCCCAACAACTGCAGCGGGGTGAGACGGAGACGGCTGTCCAACGTGTCCCTGACAGGAGGAATGGTCAGCATCGGYCGGCCGCTCTCTGCAGAACCTTCTCCTCCACACTACACCGACGAGGCTCTGCTGGTCAGTACAGAACCTTCTGGACTCAGACAAGGTGAACCTGTCTGCAGCCTAACTTCAGTTTCTTCTGTCCTGTTCCAACAGTCACCTGTCAGCCCCAACATGGAGGTAAGTCTGAACACCAGAACCCACCAAAACACACCAGAACCCACCAGAACCCACCAGAAACCACCAAAACCCACCAGAACACACCAAAACCCAAGAAAACACACCAAAACCCATCAGAACCCACCAAAACCCACCAAAACCCATCAGAACCCATCAGAACCTACCAAAACCCACCAGAACCCAACAAAACCCACCAGAACCCACCAAAACCCACCAGAACCCACCAAAACCCATCAGAACCCACCAAAACCCACCAGAACCCACCAAAACCCATCAGAACCCACCAAAA